ATTTAAACACAGCACAAAGTTGTGTAGACATTTGCCAAATGCACTCACTCAAAGAACTAAGATTAAATAAAATAAAATGAGACTACTAATGTTTCAGAAATTAGAACATGCTTTATGGCCAAAAGAAAATCATGTTCTGTTGTACTGCACCTATATGAGCCCATAACTGTGTGTAAAAGAGAGGAATCTCTCCGAAAGAGGTCAGTTTGGGATGTACTACAGCTATCGACTGCTGCTGAGGAAATCCCTTCTCTCCTCTTCGCACAGAGGAAAGGCACCAAAGTCTAATGCATGCTAATCAGGGGCTGAGAAGATAATAAGAGATGTTGCAGTCCATATGCCAATATTCAAGATTTGACTCTTTTATGCACAGATGGTCCTCTCACATTTATATGCATCGATGCACACTTGCATTCACTGATTTTGCATGTAATTTTCTGTTCTTGAAAGCAGCACATATAACCAGTAGAGAGAAAAGATCCTAGTTATACAACATACATGAATAAATAAATGTGTTTTTACAAATGGGTGCATGAGTGATTCAATATTTGTACTTTTTCATAGCTAGAATATTGACACAAGGTGAAAAATGATCAGCTGTGCACAGTCTAACTTTCTAGTGACTTTAAGATAACCTGGTCTTTGTTATTTATAGCAACAAATGTAACTTTATCACCTTGGTATTTTTTTTACCTCATGCAGGATTTCATAGAAAACAAAGTTGTCACAGTAAGGTGTAAAGAGTCAACATTTCCTGTAGTAGTCATAAATTTTTAAGCATGTAGCCATGGTTAAGTGATTTGACACTAATCGCATGTAAGCAGTATTGCAAGCACTGTCCAGAGTGCTGATCAGACTTTATCCTCTTGAAGTGACACCAAAGCTGTCCAAGGTGCTGACTGAAAGAGTCAAGTGTTCTGAGACAGACGACATTGGAACTATCCATCTGCCCTTTTTGTCCATTCCTTCACTTCTTAAAGTATAAACTATTTAGTTAAAACTCCCAGATGAGTTGGTACTGTATATGCTTGGTCTCAAAGCCTGAACATTTTATTTTCTTAAACAGTGAAAGGTCGACTTTTAAGAATATAAATGACTTCAAATAAATACTTAAATATCTAAAGTGGTAAAATGTAATATATACATAAAACAGAGACCTGGGACACATTTCTGAAAAATAAATTGTTGTATTTTGCTACTAAGCATTGCCTCACATATTCTAAGTTGACAGGATATTTATTTTGTTGTGGAGTATTGCCACAGTGTGGTATTGCTACTTTTACGTCAGTTAAGGATCTGATGACTTATTTCACTACTATGGAGCAAAAACTACAGAACTGTACAAGTGTTGAGCTATCTCTTATTATAACTTGGAAAATTGGAAAAGGGTGTAGCAATCTATTGAAATTTGTAAATAGAGCATCCATCCATCCGTTCATTCATTCATCCATCTGCTGTGGCATATCTGGCTTTAGGTTGCGGGGTGCAGCAGTCTAAGCAGAGTAACCCCAACCTCACTCTTTGGCTATTGTTTTAGATGTACAGCAATTGTTTTTAAGTATGCTATAGAAATAAACATGACTTGACCTCTTCCAGCTCTACCGGGGGATATTGAGGCATTTCTAAACCAATCGAGAGATTTAAACTCTCAGTGTGCCCTCCTCTCAGTAGGACATGCCCATAACACCTTACCTAGAAGGAGGTGGTTTGGACATCCAAATCAGATCTCCAAACCACCTCAACTGGCTCTTTTCAATGTGAAGAAATGGCGCAGGGCTGTCCAACTCCAGTCCTCGAGAGCTACTGCCCTGCACCTTTTAGATGCATCCTTGTTCCGATACACCTGAATCAAATGAATGGCTTGTTACCAGGCCTTTGCCAAAGCTGATGGCATGCTGAAGAGAAAATCCAATCATTTGATTCAGCTGTTTTGGAGTAGGGACTGAAGTTAGACACCCGTCGAATGGTGGGTGTACTCCAAATGAATGAGCTCCTGATGCTATTTTACCATGCAATTGACATGATTGAATGCCTTCTGTAAGTCACAAGGCACATAAACTCGAGGGGCTAACTCTGATATACGCTTAAATATCCTCTCCAGTATCCTGGCATGAAGCTTCCCAGGTGGGCTGAGGAGTATGATCCCCCAATAGTTGGGGCACACTCTCTGGTTCCCTTTCTTGAATAAAGGAACCACTAGTTTTTGAGATGTGGTGGTCCTTGAAGGGTTCCACCAACCATTGTGGTGCCTCTTGAGGTCTGGCCTCTTGAGGTCACTCCCTATTGTTTCCAGACTTTCCTTCCATTACAGAAGGCAAATCAGTGGGGCCACTTTTGTGCTGCTGGCCATCAGATACTTTCCAGATGGTTTTACATGGTGGATCACAATCTGATGGAACTTTTCTGCTTTCATATTTCTATTAGTTTTGACAAGATCCCCAGCACCACTGGCTGAAATTCATCCCCAAAACACGACAAAGCCTCCACCGTGTTTTACTGATGGCTGTACATACTCACTGTTGTACCACTCTCCTGACCTCCACTGTACATACTGACAACAACTTGAACCAATTTTTTTTTTAACTTGGATTCATCACTCCTTAAGACCCAAGTACCTCTGACTTTCAGTCCAGTTCTTGTGTAATTTGACATACCTCAGGCTTTTATCCCTGTTTCAAGTACGGAACTCATTATATTCTATTGGTTGCAATAAAAAAAATAAAACGTCAACAGTTAAAAGGTTCTAAAGATGTTTCTGAATTATAAACTATCTCAGTAAAATATGTGTAGCGTAACCTGTTTAGCATAACTCACTTGACCAGAGCTGTTTATTTTCTAGCTGTACTAGGACAAGAAGATGATTACATCAAAGTCCCCAAATTAATGTTTTTTAAAATACTGCAGCATAAAGATAGGTTAAATTGTTTTGGTACAAATGATCTGTAAGGTGTCTAGTATCAATGTCTATATTTGCAATTATTTAGCTTTGTTCAGTATAGCCATAGACTGACTGAACATTTTAATGGCAACAATAGTGACCAGAATAATGCTGTATATCTAGGCATGCTCAGAAAGGATCGTTCTTGCGCTTACTATCACAATCAATGAATGATAGTTGACAGCAAAACCCTGCTTTGAGGCACTATTTCTCATCCCAGTCGCTTCACACTTATAGGTGCAAATCACCTCAGTGCAAACAGAAGGTCATTTACTCGGTGAAGCCAAAAAAGCAGAGATGAGAACCTGAAACCACTGAGCCCGACACCTTCCACCCCTTGGCTGCACCTAGAAATAAAAAAGCCCAAAACAGACTTTTTTTATCGAATTTTCCCTTCCCTTTTTAATCGGTGACAAACAGAAGGCCTGGTTGAATTTAAAGCCCACTTAGAATCAAGCTAACTTATTGCTGGCAATGAAAGTCAAGCTCTTACTATGGTTTTACAGGGACCAAAAACAGTCCTGATACCCAATACCACCACAAGCATCCCCCGCAGGATACCCCAGTCCACATAACACATGTAGACTGGTTGAGCAATCTCCCATACACCCTCAAATATCATGACCAGGATGAAAACCACATTATTTGTCCAGAATCCAAGATTCATCTAATGGTTGAACTCTCCTCTGAGGTATGCTGGCATAGACCTTACTGGTCAAGCTGAGTAGTGTGATCCCCTTATAGCTGCAATGCAGAAGAAACTTAACGTGAAGCTCATCCACCCCTAGTGCCCTGCCACCAAAATGTTTTTTAACTACCTCCTGACCTCTCTCTTCACTGTCTCTCTTTCCACTACAAAAGGTGTGTCAGTGGGATTGAAGAGATTCTCGAAGTACTCCACTATCTGACTATATCCTCTGTTGAAGTTAGCAGCTCTCCATCTCCACTGAATAAAGTGTGAGTTGGAAGCTGCTTTTCTCCTTGTGTCACCTGACAGTTTGCTAGAATTACCTCAAGGCTGACTGAAAGTCATGCTCTGTGGCTTCAGTTTTTGCTTCTGCTACTGTGAGAACCACACTTTGCTTAGCATTCCAGTACTTGTCAGTTGCCTCCTAAACTATCCAGGCTTGACAGGACTCATCTCCTGTGTCCACTTTCTGGTTCTGGGCTCACTGCAGTCACAACAGACATCGACCACCTTATGATTGTAATCTGTACACTAATGGCAGTAGGGAAAATGGTCCATTCATACTTGTGAGGTCCTTTCTGAAGTGCTTGAACTTATAGCTAAAGAATATTTTTATCTACATAGCTGTGATTAAGACGTTGAAGATTACTTTAGCATACAAGATCACAATCTAGTTGACCAACCCCATGCAACCCAAAGGGAGAAAATTGTCATTATTTATAGACATCCTATTTAGTAGTGTGTGCTCAAATAGCTTTACAAACTGTAATACATCAACTTTAATATTAATACCCATACTAATATATTGTTCTTTTCACTCTTTGTTACTTTATTTCTGTTTTACACCTTTCTAAGTTCATAAATTAGAAAAATGATTTAAAATTGAATTTATGTTTTCAATGCAATAAATAAGCGAGGCAAGAATCAAAAAATATGCAAGCTTTTGTGGTAAGTGGGCTCATATCTTGAATTTACCCTCATTTTTACAGTTCTGTATATACATGCATTGCGAGGTTTGTGATGCATGTACGTATACATCATCAGACCCATGTCATGCAAATTATGCTGAAATAGAAGAGACAGTAAACTGAAGTCTAAGTGACAGACAACTGAACCTCTAAATCCAATATGACAGTTGATGATAACGCCCTGATTGGTTTTCTCCTTTTTGATTTCCTTGTCAGTGATGTGAGTAGGCATTAGCTTTTCTGTAGGAAAGATATCAGGACCCCGCAGCTGTTATCCAAACCTGAATGGATGCATTCTAATCCAAAAGCAGAACAATCATCTTGGATTTAGTGTCACAGCAACATATCTCAGATATGTCATGAAATGGAAGTATTTTGTTTGTATAAGCCTAATGGGTATACTTACTGATGTATAGAGGTATCCTTCACTATTCATGGCGAGGTACAACCCTGTCTTTGCCCCCTGAATTGCCACAATCCGCAGCCCCACTGGAATTAAGTTGAACTGTGCTAAATTGGGAAATAAAGTCAGAGATAGAGAAGGAAGGAAAGGAAAAAGTCAGAAAATCAAACTGCAATACCATATCACAACACATTCTGCTATTCTGTATTCATATTTGCAGGGTGAATGGCTCCAGTGTCAGTGCTGCCTGCGGTTTCTCTCTTAAGCCCAAATGCAGTGACCTCTTACTTTATGTTTATGGAAACATAACACTCTGTCACCTTCACTGAGCTTTGTGCTGCCACTAAAACTGAACAATAATGGAAATGTTCTGCCATGCCAACTGCAGCTTAGAGTAAAGACAGCAACGCAGTGTTGGTAAAATACACTAGTAAGCTAGTTAACAGTTCACCAAGAAGTAATGTTACATCGAGAGTAAATAAAATGCCACATTCAGACTTCGGCTTTAAAAAAAGGCCTATGTCTGACTCTTGAAGGTCAAAAACAAAGAAATGATAAGAGAGCACTGCATAGTTTCCGCTCTGATGGCCAGATTTAGTTTGCGAAAGGTCAGGACGAACATTCACATCGTCTCAACGGTTGTAATATGTCACTGCTCTCTCTGGTTTATAAAGTGCATATAGTGACCTGCAGATCCAATCAGAATCTGTGATCCAAGCGTTTCTGCACGAGAGCCGAACACACTAAATTGCCAAAGTTTGACAGGCACTGCGACATGATGTGCTTCCTATTAAGAGACAAAAATAACAGTCCTAATTGAACCAATTTTGACAGGTGAGCTGACAAAATCCTAACTTTTTCCACCACTCTTCAGCCATAGGCCCTTACAGCACAGCACGACACCTGCTGTTGTTCGGTTAAGTTCTTTACAGCATTAACTTTGGCAAAAAAATTACGAGCATTTCCATTTTCCAGTTTTATATATATATATAAGTGGGTAGAAGCAATGCTGGAGGCTAGATTTGTAATAATTGTTAAAAACTTACAACATAAGCATGATATCTGTACACTGATACTCACAAAATGAGCTGCTTTCATCCCTTGTGCTGTCGACAGTGCCATCAGGCTGCATCTGCAGGTAGTATCCATGTTGGCTGTACAGCCGGGTAACGATGCCTTTCAGCTGTGGCTCTGCAAGGGAGGACCAGAAAGCAGCGTGGCATTAGACAGATGTGACATTTACTAATTTAATGGCCCTGAAAAAAAAACGAATGGTTAGTCAAATATGTCATTTTAAACAAAGGCACCAATGAGAAAAATTAAGAAGTGTATTATATGAAGCTAGAATGTGGTTTATGTGCGACGTAACCTTAATGATTTTCTGTTATGAACTAATTTAAAATGATCATGTATGCTGAAGGGCAACTGGGCATCAGCATTACACATTTATAAACTTTTATTGGCGGTGGAAGATCTCTAATATTATAATAGAAGAATATTTGTACAACCTTAAAGCAATTTGCAATAACATGTAAGAATATTACACGGCTATGTATTTTTTTGTACAAGACAGTGATTTCTCTGTAGGGAAACCAGTGGGTGATGTCATGCTGGTAACATCCATCTTTTTTATATACAGTGCATAGTTTGTTTCACTGTTCTTCTTTAGCCATGTGCCATGAGCAAATAAAGTAAAGTGAGATACTTCACAGTCTCCTTCTTGCTAAATAAACAATATATTCAAGGGGACTGGGTGCTAAATGTGACTGACTAGAGGAGCTGAATGTTTCATGAGCGGAGTCCCCACAGCCTACTCTGTGTCCATTTAACAAACTGAATCTCTGCAGCACCAGGCTCTTTGTTGTGATTTCTCTTTTGAGCTCAGCACCTTAATGTCGTGCTACTCCAACAACAAGGATAACCCTGCATTTCCCCTGATTTTGCTTGTAGCAGAGTGCTTTATTCAGTCAGGACTAGTGACCTGATCAGCCCCCTTCATTCCAGCTTTAATAAGGCAGATGAAAGATGGTTAAAGGAGCAGTTTATGATGGAGCCTCTGGAGGGCCATCTGGGAGTTCCCCTTCCACTATACTCCTCACATGCACTCGCACACACTCCTCTGGGAATGACCTGGGGCACTGCGCAATCTGCCCGTCTTCTTCACACTATAGCGCGAGGAGCCTGAGCGAGGCAGAGGATACAGGGATGAGATCTGTAGGACTATTTCCCAGAGGAAGTGTGCCAGGGCTGAAACATCAGTGAAACTGTGACCTACTCCCATTGTTACACGCATGCACGTCCTTTTGTTTTCAAAGCCTCCTGTCAAAACATTTCTCTGTCTCCACTCTCTCACTTTCCTCTCCTTTTCCATTCCATACCCTCTGAGTTATATTTGCTTTCATCCCACCTAATAACATCATGCATCATCCAATCAGAGCAGGGAAGCCGTTCATTAGTTGTCCCCGCAGATTCAAAAGAGAGAGATGAGAGACAGAGAGAAAGAAAGGGAAATGGGAGGATCGGGGAGGACAGAAGCGAGCAGAGGGACAGCGAGGCAACAGTGAATGAGATGACACTGACATTTCATGAAGAGCTGTATGTGCAGGAGAGGGGGGAAAAAAAAGCACATTTAGGCAGAAATTCAATAGACAGCTTGTGCAATATAGCTGCAATCAAAACTCCCATGCTTGGTGTCAGGCACACTAAAACTAATGTTTCACTTAGCAGAGCTGGCTCTGACTCCACAGTCCTCACCACAGCATCAGCACACATTAGATTTTGATCCAGCATAATGAGAGCAGGCTCCCAGGAAAGAACACGACAGCTGTATTTTACCACAGCTGCACTGAGGGTTCATTGTGGTCAGCGGATTGGTCACGTCGTGTGAAAACACTGATGTCACCACAGTCCCATCACCATTTATACTGGTGATCAAGGCACCAGATTGCTGAAATAGTCTCCTAAATGATATGTGTCAGAACTCAGCTGTTGCAACATCTTCCTCTTGTAATATGGGAATCTCAGAGCTTTTGCAATGGTGTGTCACTGAAATGTTGGCAGAAACCAGCTCAATCGTACTCTTGTATCTTCAAAGCGCAGTTTAAACCAAATGTCCCACCATTTCTGGCACACGTCACCATTTGTGAGGATGTGAGACGCTGACATAATGTGCCCTGCAGAAATGTAAGGATCTTTAGGTAAAAATTTGTTTGATCTTCAAAGATATTTCTGCTCTAGAATAAAAGACTCTGTAAAAAAAGAGTGAAGCTAATATGGAAGTGACTTAAACTTCTATAGTAGCATGTTAGCTTATAACTTCCAGTTCTTTCCAATGGCAAGTATTTTAGCAGTTGCAAAAATTCAATTCAGGGTCACAAGAGGGCTGGAGCTTATCCCAACTAGCATAGGGTGACAGGTGACAAATATTTGCACTCACATTTAAATCTTATTGAATACAATAGTGCATAATAATACTGCTTCTTGCATCCTTTATGTACAGTGTATGTCTAAAACTCAGGCAGATAGACACTCACTCTCTGACTTTGGCCCAGAATATTTTTTCTTGTCATATTTTTAAAAGAATGAATTAATAAAGGAAGTAATCCATTGATTAATAATTAATTAGTCAAATTAGCTGCAGCCTTGAACTGATTAGTTGTTTTTTGGTTGGCTATTTTCAAGCTGAGGTAGTGCAGTTTCTTCTTTTCAATTCTTTTTTACCAAAAGAAGATTAGTGGAGCAACTGAGGCCAAATCCGCACAACAAATGTCGACAGTGATGAGATATAGTCCTGTCTTTCGTGTCTGAATTCTTCCCGGTAATAAGAGGTCTCTGATTATGTGGGCTCGCAATATTAAGATTGATGAAATAGGGCTTTATGAAGAATTTCACTGGGTAGCTAATTCTTTATAGGGCACCAATGGCTTATGTAAAAAGGAATAAATATGTTTTCTATTGCCATATTGTAGTTGCTTGTTGTATTAATGGATTGGAGAGACAAATAAATAAGCTGGAAAAAAAGAGGATGGTTGTGCCAGGGATTAAAAAACAAAAAAAAAAAGCAGACTTCATAAGGACAATGAAGACGAGGAGTTTGGCCAAACATTTAGATTTTCAGACCAACATGGTGAGAATGGCAAATAGGTTGTTGTGTTTACCGTCCAAAAAGAGGGGATAGTGTAATATATCACTGGGATTTAAAGCAAATTGGAATCTGAAGTCTTTTTAAACAGCAAACTGAATGAAATTCACAAAATCATGAGGAGAAGAAATCTGAGCAAACGGTAAAAGTAAGAACTTATTGTTTATTCAAGAAAGATTACAGATGTCACAAATGTTTTAAATATAATTTTTCTTATTTTGCTCATTAAAGATGGGGAATATTATCATTACATATTAAACGTGGAAGATACAGGAAAATTCCCTTCATTTTATTTTGAAATTATTTATATTTTATTTATTTAAGTCCACATTCCTGATTTGGATAGGCTTTGATATTGAAGATTCATTTAAATGTATTTTTATTAATGTTTTTTTTTTCATTTTATAAATATATCTTTCTAAATCATGTAAAGAGGACAACAGTAACATGTTAGACAAATTCTTCATATTACTTCATGCGGATTATAGACTTATATATATATATGGATTGTGTCAAATATGCACATGCAGCATTTACATCTTTGGTTAGAAAACATAGTAGGCACAAGCATTCTCCACTGCAACCACTGAACATCCAGGGTATGGACATTGAGGCTGTGGACAGCTACAGGTACCTTGGTGTTCATCTGAACAACAGACTGGACTGGACTCATAACTCAGACGCCCTCTACAGGAAAGGGCAGAGCAGGCTGTACCTGCTGTGGAGACTCAGGTCGTTTGGGGTGGAGGGCCCACTCCTGAAGACCTTCTATGACTCTGTGGTGGCTTCTGCTATCTTTTATGGTGTGGTCTGCTGGGGCGGCAGCATCTCTGCTGGGGACAGGAAGAGACTGAACAGGGTGATCCGAAGGGCCAGCTCTGTTCTAGGATGCCCTCTGGACCCAGTGGAGGTGGTGAGTGACAGGAGAATGGCGGCTAAGCTGTCATCCCTGTTGGACAACATCTCCCACCCCATGCAGGAAACTCTGACAGCACTGAGCAGCTCCTTCAGTGGCAGGCTGCGGCACCCACGGTGAAAGATTCTGCAGGTCTTTCCTCCCCACTGCTGTCAGACTGTACAACAAAGACTCCAACTGATCAAACACACATATCCACACATGTGCAATAACACTAAGTGCAATACTCTTTTTCTGGCATCGTTGTATTTTTACTCAGTTGTATATAGCATTCGTATTCTATTTTTATCTTATTGTATATTTTTATTCTATTTTATTCTACTGTATATAGTATATTATTTTATTCTATTCTGTACAGCTGTGTACTGTATTTATTCTTATTGTATTCTAATTTTTGCGTCATAACTTTTGCACTGTCCACTTCCTGCTGTGACAAAACAAATTTCCCACGTGTGGGACTAATAAAGGTTATCTTATCTTATCTTATCTTATCTTATCTTATCTTATCTTATCTTATCTTATCTTATCTTAAAATATCTCCTGGAACATTATTACATTATTATCTCTGTTTATGTTTACATTATTATACAACTCTGATATGCTGATGTTGACCTGTTTAAATAAGCTAGCTGTGTTGTAAATGTAAAGAACATTTAACACTTTGTTAAAGAGTCAACTAGAAACACCTGAAAATCTTATTTTCTGCCCATTGTCCAGCATCACTACTGAGAGATTTTTGTTTCATTTAAATAGAACAATTTAGATTAAAGGCTTAAACTAAATAAATATCTTACTATAATGATTGTATCAAATGCACACGTGTCTGTTCCCTAACTCCTCCTAGACTTGTTAATCAATGGGAATGAAGAAAAATTAAAAATATATGTAATTATTATTAATTTATCTGGTGTGTATAAACAGCCATCTTTGCCATCTGACTTTATCTGACTTTATCTCACTATCACAACAAGATGGCGGCGCGCACGGGTGCAGCGGCTCTTAGCTCTCCAGTTTGGTGCTCGTTTTTACTTTTAATGTGGATATTTTTGAATGTTTGCAACGCCGCCATCTCTTACAGTCGCCAGAACCTAATTGACCTAGGTTTTAAATATAGTCACCGTGGATGGTCTGCCC